ATTATTGTAAGGCTAATTAAAAAGAAAAACAAATGTCACCATAAATACTTTGATAATTGCTTACATTGTTTTACAAATTGAAGACACGTTTAATCCAGAATTCATTGGGGGGAAAAAAACAAAGGTGTTTTTATATTGTAATTTGTCTTTTATATTTTAGCTTTCCTCAGGAACTAGAAGGGGCATCTTTGTGAGCTAGTCAGGCTCTGTTACATTGCACAGTGCTGTCACTGGGAGGTTATTGACAGCCAGTGATAACTCATCAGTCACTTGTTGCTCTTTCATTCTCCATTCACATGTATGCTCACCCTTCAGCAAAAGATGAGTGCAGTAGTTTTCTTTTGATTTGCTGATAACCGTGAACAGTAGATCACTATTGTAGAGGCAAAAGCAAAATGTATGTAAGCAACTGAAAGGTGGAATGTCAAACTGATGTTTGCTTAATGATCTTTACTGAAAATGCTTATTCAGCAGCCAGGTCATGCAAGGCTGGTTGCCGTCCATTGTTTGTTATCGGTATTTATACAGCGCCGACAATTTACGCAACACTTTACATAGTACACGTTCACATCCATCCCTGCCCTCTCGCAATCTAAGGTCCCTATTACACATGCATACATTCAGGGCCAATTTAGACAGGAGCCAATTAACCTAGCAGCATGTGTTTGGAGTGTGGGAAGAAACTAGAGTACCCAGAGGAAACCCACACAAGCACAGGCAGAGCATGCATATTCCTTGCAGATAGTGTACTCACCAGGATTTGATCTGGGGACCCCCCAGTGCTGCAAGGCAGAAGTGCTGACCCCTACTCCAGTTTGCTACCATTGTTCACAAGCAACCTAAATAATTTGTTCCCACAGAAATGCATTTAGGAAGGGGGGGGGGGCACAAACTGTACCGATAATGCTCCCCCTTGCCATAAATGCCCAGTTGCCATGAAACAAATATGATGCCCTGAGGAGGACATTGCACTTATTGGCAAGTTTGTTCCAGAGTACTGTATTTAAAATCTTTTCATGCGCGTGCTCGTACTAAATCTAAATTTACACAAACAATTAACTTTTTTTTTTTTCTGCATGCATCATTGATGGGAAAAGGATTATTAGTGGATTATTAGCATTTCTATTCTGATGTAGAAAGCACACTTGCACTGTACCCCCCTCGTATAGTCGTATAACTATGACTATACGAGAGTTACTTTGAGAAGAATAACAATAGTCATTTTTCTAATGTAACATTTTTTCTTTCTAATTACATTTGTAAAATTAAAATGTGTTCTTAGTCATTTGTATTTCCAGTTTCTCAGGATTTGATTGCAATCTAAATAAAATATCCTTTTATGTTCAGCCATATTTGAAAAAGACATTTCTGTAAATGGTTTAACACATCTAAGCCTAGTAAGCACTGGGCCTTTGGCTTGTTGCTTTGAAGCATGTGGTTTAGATACAAATCAAACCTTTTGTTACAATTGTCTTGATATGTTCATTTCTGTACAAATCAGACCAAGCAGTGCCGGGCTCCCATGGTGTGAAGTGATGGCATAATTGGGTTAATTCTACACTATATGAGCAGGGAAATTTGAGTCTATTTTCTGCTCTGTTCTCCACTCCTCTGTCCTAATCAAATTGACTGTTTGCATATTGTGGTAGCTGCACATCCCAGTGGAATGCAAAGTCTTAAGCAGAACTCGCTGCTATTTCTGTCTCCTCTCTGAAGGATAGAAATAGTACTATGAAAGTGCTGCTGCTTATAAGGAGTACTAGCTCACTGGTATTTCTTGCTTTCTATGTGACGGAAATGATCTGTGTTTTTAGCGGTTTACCAAATATCTGTGAAATTGTAATTGGGTAGAAGGTAACAGGCTTCAGCTGGTAATGTATTAATAGATTTTTTTTTTCTTTAGTGCAGCCTATAGGCTGAATGTAGAAACTCCTTAACATATTCCTCCATCTACGCTAAACAGGTGTGGATGGGTGAATGTCCCTCGCTGGGCTTTTGTTTTTTGACATTCAGCGCCCACCGCTGCCAGAATACTTGAACACCAAACAGTGACTGCATCAGATTGGCTACAATCTCTGTTCAGGCAACAATTATCGGCCTGGCTCCTTCGACCAAAGTAGATTTGAGTATCCGGCTTTTGTTGAGCCGGCAGGGCCGCCCACTTTGAGAATTGTGGCAGATTCCTGTGAGTCGGACACAATTTTAACCATGGGTGGTCCTGGCGGATTCCTGTAAATCGGTGCAAATTCTAAGCGTGCATGGCCTCGTTTAAAGTGTATGTATGGTGAAAGCTTTTTCTTTTAAATGTAATTGAGTTGGGATGGGTTAAAGCCCCTATCAGAATATCTTTTGCTGTCTTTGTCCTGCTGGGGAGGTTTTCTTTCACTTCCTGTCATGGAGATGCAGCAGGAAGTGAGGGGAATTTCCATCCTAGACAGTTGTCAACAGAACATTTGTTTAAATTGGAGGAACTGCCCTCGCCTTTTGCTCTCATATCAACTCTAGAATTTTGCATTTCTCCCAAAACCAATGGTAACCATTACATTTAGAGGGGTATGTTTCCCCGGAAGTGGTGCAGACAGACAAAAAAGAACTTTACAGAGCATTTTTAAGGAGCATTCAGAGCTCCTGGGATTTTTTATTTTTTTTTAAATATATATGTGATGTACCGACACCATTTTTCCAAGTACTGATACTTGTCCAAGTACTCACAGATACGAGTACTGGTACATTTTTGTTGTCATGTGGCAGTTTTTCTAAAACAATACAGACTAATTGTTTCAGGAGAGTGGTGGGGCTCCAGAGCCAGGTCCCTGGTAGTTCTCGTGAAAAGTGTCGGCACTGGTATCTGGACATCCCTACAAGTAGTATAAAACGCCAATCTGTTGCCTCCTGCCTCCGCTGATTGCCAGGCCTGGATTTCTGCATAGCCAAAGTAGTCCATGGCCCTGGGCACATAGCCTTCCACACAGTGAGGTCGCCTGTACACCTGGATCCAAACTGCTAACAGAATAAGAGGGCATGTTTCCTAATCCTTTAGTTCCAGGTATACTGAGGTAGAGCGGGGCAGACTGTCTCCTCCAGTCTCACTGCCTCAGCCTTGGTGTGTCTATGATTCCTGTCCCTGTTAGTGCAGTACTAAGGCTAGCCAGTCACCGCGGTAAGAGGCGAGGTATGGGAGAGTTGGCCTAGGTAAGGAGGTATAAATATGGCCCTGCTGATCACTCCTCTACAAAAATCCTCCCCTATGCGGGCTATAATGCACCCCACACCAGTCCCTTTTTTCCCCAGTCATCTTCCAGGACAGCCAATGAGATAGGCTGTCCTGGAAGATTCCTGGAAACAGAGTTATCAAGTAATCAACTCATGTTTTTGTTTTTTTTTCTCCTAGCATGCTCCACTTGCATATCTATTGTCTTTGTTACATTGAAATCCCTCTACTGGCTTCCCTCCAGTCTGTTTCCAGTATGAGCAGGATGTGACCATCAGTAAGCGGCATCCTGGCATTTGTAGTTCTATAGACCCCGTCATCCACGTAAATCACATTAATTATCGGGGCATATTAGCTTTATTTATAATAAAACTATGCGGTTGTGCAACACACATTTATTCCTACCTAAATACTGCTATTATTATTTTATTTTTTTAAACAAAGGGAACAGTTTCTTTCCTGTTCAACTTTGTTCCAGTAGAACTGACTTTTTTTGTTGGTTACAAAAATAGGATAAAAGTTATTGATTTGTGATGATGTATATTATAAGCCAGGGCTGGGCAAATCCCAGGAGCTCTTTTAATAGCTGGCTCCAGTGGCGTAACAATCGCCATAGCGACCCAGGCGACCGCTATGGGGCCCGGGCACAGGGGGGCCCGGCCTGGGTCGCTATGGCATGTGGGGGTGCTGGCTGTCACTGACACAGCTCAGCAGTGGTCGCGGCGCATTTCCCCTCAAAGCCGCTGCGGAGCTGTGTCAGTGACAGCCAGCCGCTGCGGCAGATGAGAGCGGTGTTCGGAAAGGAGGAGGCGGGGCCCACCTAAGAGCAACCCCGCCTCCTCTTACATCACTGGCCAGCGACCTAAGAGCAGGTGGGGCTAGTGATTTAAGAGGAGGCGGGGCCTGTCGATAGCAGAGGCGGACAGCTCTGACAGGTAAGAGATCTCAGACCCTGCAGAGCCCACTATAGAGTCTATGGTGGGTTCTGCAGGGTCACTCTCCGGTGGGCTCTGCAAGTGGCATAACTAGCAATCACGGGGCCCCATGCAAAATTTTGCTATGGGGCCTTGTGATTTCTAGTTACGCTCCTGGCTGGCGCCTAGCTTTTTGAAGTTTTCTCTAGTTGTCAATAGGGCTGGCCCCTGGATTGGGCAGACTTTACCCTGAACGCAATATTAATCTGCGTTCCCCCGATAGAAGCTAGTAAATGTGTACATGGACTCATCGCCATTCAGTTTTGTGACTGCCAATCTGTCTACACTTTTCGTGTGTGTGCTCTGCCAAGGTAGCTGTTCCAGGTCCTGTCCATTTTTATATATATATATATTGTGCAAATATTTAGGCAAGTCGTGTTTAGCTTCATCAGTTTTCTTCTGGTAAATATTTTCAGGCCACACAGTCTGTAATTTAGATTTTAGTATTGTGTAATTATGTTTGTATCCCTGTTTATTAATAGATGCTGTCCTTCACGTTTTAATTACATTCATTTGGAATTTTTAATGTACTAAAAATAGTTGTGGCTTCTGTTTTTTTTTTTTTTTTTTTTTTTTTTTTTTGTTTTTTTTTTTATTCTGGGGAAATTTGATGTTTTTGTTTTGCTCTTTTTTTGTTTTTGTCTTTTGTGTTTTTTTGGTTTTTTTTTTAATGGCCAGCAAGAGGCCAACATTAGGTGCAATGTCATCATTCCTGGAAATAGTAATATCACTTTGCCTCTGGTTACCTGATTGTGTAATGTTTACAAGGCAATTATATTTTCTGTGGTGTAACAATCCCTATTTCCTCTTTACAGATGAAAACAATGTGGAAGATATCCAGATTAATTCAGATTGTGACGCTGAGGTGATGGACAAGCCATACCCTATCCAGATAGTCCTGGCTCATGAGGATGACCATAACTTTGAGCTGGATGAAAAGGCCCTGGAGCGTGTTTTGATGCAGGAACACATACGTGATTTGAATGTGGTGGTTGTGTCCGTAGCTGGTGCTTTTCGCAAAGGGAAATCTTTTTTGCTCGATTTTATGCTCCGATTCATGTACAGTCAGGTAAACATTTTTTGTTTCTCCTTTTGAGGGCCTGTTCACACATGTGTTCATGCATTTTTTGGCCCATTGCATTAAGCATACTCCTATAGTGAGCCAAACGATGTACCGGCCTGATTTTTTTCCAGCTCACTGCAGGCGATAAAAATAAATTTCCTTGCAGTGTGCTGGTAAAAATGAGGCCAGTATGTTGAGAGGCAGGTTTGTTTTGGCCACATATGTGATAGGGTGCTTTATGAAATTGAATGGCAATACACATACAGAATTAGGAATGTGACTTAATGGGTGTATAGTCCAGCTTTTCCAAAAATTTTTACAAAAGAAAAAAAATTTGCAATTTGAGCCTGCTCTTCCTCCCAGCCCCTATCTGTACCCCTCGGTACAGACTTTTCGTTATGGGATGGAAGGAAGTATCAGTGGATTATATTAAAAAATCATTAAGCTCAAGTTCACGCATACTGCGGTGACCTGACTTGTACCACACCAGGTCACAATTGCTCTGTGTGTCCCATTAACAGCACAATGTGGGTGTGATAAGAGGTGCGCTCTGCTGCAATAAAATGAAAACATTCATTTTTAATTAGCGATGCATCGATATTTCGCCTGAAAATGGCACTATGGGCAAAATGCCGGTAGTACCAAAACGGCTGAAATTGTGGTGCACCCCTAACCGTAAAGTAAAAACAAAAAAAATATTAATAATAAAATGAAAAAATAATGTAAAACATTTTAAAAAGGTTGGAAAAAAATGTAATTGTTAGTTTCCGCCTCACAAATTTTTTTAAATGTTGGTTTTGGTCTAAAAAACTTGTTTTGGTGCATCCCTGGGTTTAATACAGCAATGTACACAGTGACAGGTCCAGCAGTGTGCGATACAAAGTACACTGCCAGAGCTGCCACAACAAACTAGCCTGTTCACTAAAACAGAGCTTTTTATGGGCTGGGCAAATGTGAACGGGCCCTAAATGCAAAGTCGCCATCTTCTCAGCCTTCTAACTGGGCATAATATAAAGATATACAACATGGATGCATTTGATTCAAAATTATTCGCTGATCTGAGGTTGTGGTATATTGAGTGAATGGGAGAATTGGTAAATAACATACAATTCTTCATCAAACTTTTTTCACTGCAGTGTATTATATGTATACTTTTTAAACCAAGGTAATAAAATCACATATATTACAGTCACTTCATGACCCACCGCCCGACTTCATGATTGGTCAGGAAGCCAGGTTGCCTAGCCAGTCAGGGAGGTGGGTCATGACGTGCCACTTGGCTTCCGGATTGGCCATTGTATCTTTCGATACAACACCAGCTTCCAAGGCAATCAGGAAGCCGGGCCAACGGTACCCCGGGATGCCGGTATCGGCGAGTACCGGGAAAATAATATCGGTATTTGATGGTGAAAAAACGGTATCTTTGCATCCCTACTTTTAAGGTTTAACTCCTGCGTTCAGCGTCTTTAGGATAGCCCCATCCACAGAACCATTTTCTACAATGGCAAAATTGGGTCAGTGGTTTAAGTGCAAAATGAGAGGCAGTGCTCACCAGGTTTTTATTGATGCTTTGGGGCCCATTTATAAAGTGGTGGTATAGCATAACCATAGCCATACTGCTGCTTTTCAAAAAAGAAAATACTTCAGCCATTGCAAGAAGCTCCTATTAGGGATTGTTCTTTATGGCATTTTGCCACACCACATACTCCACATTGTGCTGTGCTTTTTATAAATAAAATATAAAATACAGATAGAGGGGTTCATTTATAAACTGTTTAGACAGCAAAGAGCTGTGTGAATGATATACACAGTGTTGTATGGCCGTTAGATGGAGCCGAAGAGGATAGGAAATTCTGAATGGTTCATAAACCAGCACCATAGTGTTAAGTAATCAGAGCAATGTCCTAAATTATGCTATTCTCAATTTAAATGGGCGCCTTAGTGGTTTAAATTAATGTGCATCTAAACCCAAGAACTATAATACAACTTATTGCAGCTTACCGGCCCTCAGATGGGGTGGCTGTGTTCGTTTTCTCTTTTGGTTAAGTGCGTTTTCTGAAAGTACAGAAAAATACCTGTTGATCTTGGCAGAAATCCAGTGTCCTTGTAACGTCTTGTGCACTGAGCCTTAATTTTGGACAATGTTGTGACAACGCTGCTTCTCAGTGTGTACAGTAAGTATGTTGTCACCCTAGGACAGGAAGTGTTGCTGACTAGACAAATCCCAGGTAGCCAATGCCCCTTAAAAATGGCACCTAACTTTTGAGGGTTTCTCTAGTGCTTATCAATAGAGCTGATTTTGGATTTTTTTTTTTTATAACCCAACCCTGCTCTGTGCTTCTCCACCACTTTCTCCCTGACCTGTTTGGAGAGTTCCTTGGTCTTGGTGGTGCCCCTTGCTCAGGTGGTGTACTCTGGGGCCTTTCAGAACAGGCGTGTGTGTGTGTATATATATATATATATATATATAATCATGTGACACTTGCACACAGGTGGTCTTTATTTAACTAATTATTTGACTTCTGAAGGTAATTGGTTACACCAGATCTTATGTAGGGGCTCCATGTCAAAGGGGATGAACACATATTCATGCACCACATTTCCGGTTTTTATTTGTTATAGTTTTTTAAAAATAAAGTTATTTTCTTGATTTTTACTTCACCATGTTGGACTATTTTGTGTATGTCCATTGCATGCAATCCAAATAAAAATCAATTTTCATTCCAGGTGGTAATGCAACAAAATAGGAAAAATAATTTTGCAATCCACTGTATTGGTTTTAGGTGGAGTTCTGATTGATGCTATTTATACCAAGATTGGACTGCTATCAGCTGTTGGGGTTTCTTTTTGTAGCATAACTGCTTTGTATACATAAGATAAGCTTGCCGAGCTATAAGATTTATTACAAGCACAGAAGAGAATATAGTAATCTGGTTTCTATAGGCTGCATAAATGGTTTAAACCATTTTAACAGCATAATGTTCAAGAACAATGTCGGCATTACAACAGCTAATAGTGCCAATTCAAGCTTATGGTACTTTCTCTCAGGCATGGCTTATGAAAGGGCTTCACTTTAAGCACCAGCATGGACCAAAGTTGATATTTGCAGTCTAATTTAAAGGACTTTTTAAAGGTTTTGGTGCTTCATTTAGCAAAACTAAAGGTATGCCCAGACTCCGTTTGGTGCATTCTGTCACACAGGAATAGCGCTTTATATTGAATTTTATGAAGACAAGGTTTTTGTAGGTGCTTTTTGAAGGGAATTAAATGGAACCCATTTCTGTACAGTGATTGAGATACCTTAGGGGTTATTCTGATGGCATAACCCTTGTGAGGGTAACTTCCTTCCTGCAAGGAGTATAGCATGAAGGTATTTGATGTATCCAAAATACACTGAGCGTGCTAAAAATGCCAGGAGCTGCATGTCTTGTTTCTGCTGTATTCATGGATATATAAACATAGATTAGCTGAGTTTAGTTTACCATTGAAATAGAAGTTAAAGCTAAATTCCAAAAAGATGGCCAAGTACACAGTCTGTATGCATGTTCCTTGTTAACATATGTGAATACCCCTTAATCGGTCCCAAGTACCTGCCTCTCCCTTACCCAAGTCTAGGTGCTATTGTAGAAGGGGTTCCAAGGGCCTGAAATGAAGTCATATTCAGGGATTCACACTAGTAGTGTATCAACTTTTAATTGTTTTTAATGTCTTCCTGGAGTTTGACTTTACGGATACAAAATATCTAGCTGATTTTTATGTGATCTGTCTTCTACTATAAAAAGGAAATTATTTTGGATTAGTACAAGCATGTGGAAAACATTTCTGCAGGTGATGAGCACATGATACACCTCGTATGCATTTCCATTCATTGTCTTGTTATGATATAATTCTCACAAGTGCTGTATTGATTTGTGATAATCGTAGCTGGTATGGACACACCACCACCATGAATTGGTTTGGTTGTTCAGAAGTTAATCTGAACAGGCAGCATGTAATATGTATTCCGATTTAGACCAGTGAGTGTAAAATGTGAAGATAAAGGACTCCTTTTTTTTTTCCAGAGCACATCAAGTTGGATTGGTGGAAATTGTGAGCCATTGACTGGGTTCACGTGGCGAGGAGGATGCGAGCGGGAGACCACAGGCATACAGATCTGGAGTGAAGTCTTTATTGTTGAAAAGTCTGACGGTTCCAAGGTAAGTGCTTTAAGTCTTCCACTAATACAAAAATTATATGTTCAATCAATGGTCATATTACTTTTTTCTTGAGCTTTGCCATAAATTGAAATGTTTCTTGGGCTTGTCTGTGTTTCTGACCTCCACTGAAATGCACATTATCTAGCTTTGTAGGGTACTCTGACTCCTGTAATACTCTTGAAGTCAGGTTGCAAGTCAAAGTTTGTTGTTTACATATTGGACTCCTACAAATAAGTCCACGTTGGTAGCTTGCTTTATCGGTCGTTATATATACCCAACAAGCAGAAGGCATACCATATACAGGCATCAAGCAATGCCCTTAATCAGGGGTGTGGAATTCCTATCGCCCGACGCCCAGGACATGCAGTTTCGGGCACCGGGCGAGTAGTTTTTTTGTACACTTAGCCCCGCTCCGGACAAGCAGAGCTAAGTGTACAGTGTGGAGCCGCCGCTCGTTTCACTTGTATGAAACGAGAAGCGGCGATTCTGTCCACGCCCCAACCCCCCCCGTGGTTTTCGGGGGCCCCCGCTCCTCTGGCGGACCCGAGACCACGGAACATGAGCTCACCATAGAGCCCGCAGAGCAAACGTCCGTTTTTTGTCTGCTCTGTGTTATCACTGAGACTGTGGCGCTGTGATCACAGCGCCACCTGTCTCAGCTGACAGGAACTACACAGAACATCTGTTCTGTGTTGGAGGGCAGGTTCCATAAAGAGAACCTGTCACCTCCAAACTATCAAGATTTTAAATCCCTATGTGATAGGAATAAAATTAGGTGGGGTAAAAAATTATACAAATAAAAAAAAGTTATGAAAAGTAAAAAATAATTAAATATATATTTTTTAAAAATTTTAAAAACCAACCCCGCTGCCCCCGCCATCTGCATGCAAATAAACACACGCATTGGACATTGTGTGTGTGCGTTGAGTGCTGCCGCCATTTCACTGCCAATCGGCATCGAGCCGGCTTCCTGGCCAATCGGGTCATTAGTCGCCGCCCGGTTTCCTGATTGGCCAGGAAGCTGGCTCGATGCTGATTGACCGGGAAACCGGCTTCCCAGCCATTCACAATCAAGCCGGCCAAACAACATGGAGTCGGCTTCCCTGGCAGTCAGGAAGCCGGGTAGCATCTCATTACCCGCTGCCCGGCTTCCTGATTGCCCGGGAAGCCTGCTCCATGCAAACGGAAGCGCCGATACTCTGTGAGTACCGAAAGCAAAATATCGGTACTCGTACTCTATACCCAAAAACCGGTATTGGTGCATCCCTAGTTTTATTTAAAACTATTTTTTTTGTATTGGGACAAGTAGATTTGGCCCCCGCTTTAGCCCTTGGACAAGTAGTTTTTTCAAAAATTTCCACACCCCTGTCTTAATGCATGTGTGAGTAAGGACATAGTGTATGAATTGTGTTATGGTCATTGTTTGATGCCACTTTACGATATGCGTTCTGCTTGTTGAATACCTACAACATTCCTACCGATTATGCAAGCTATCATTGTGGACCCATTTGTATGATTTAGATGGGTTACCAGTAAACGTCCCTGAGCCACAGTTAAAGTTAGCCCCAGCACCTGAAGTAGATGGTCATTTGCTGGACACCATGGTCTTAGCAGGACCAGTTTTAGAGAAATGTGAGCTTTTATGTGAGGAATGTCTATGATCATTTCTTATCCCACTTCCTCCTATGTGGCCAATGGCAAATAAAGCAGTTATAGGCTTTTACCAAATGCCGTATATAACCGTTTCTTTTGGAAATATCTTTTTTTTTCTTCTTATGCTGAGCTGGCTGGTCTTAACAATGCTTTTAAATATTTTGTTTTCAAGTACAACAGTTTACATCAGCATCTTACATGGTAAGGGTTGCAGACTCTTCAAAGCTAAATAAGCTGGTTTGTTTCACTTCATCTCTGACTAAGTTAAGCCTTAGGCCTTGTTCACACCAAATGCAGAGCAGATCCAGTCAGGTTTCTGCACACGCACGCTCGTCTTTTAGACGCTTTTTTTTTTTTTTTAAAGTAAAATGGGCTTTCAGTGTGTTCCAGGCATTGGCATGCGTTTTTGATGCGTTCCAGAGCAGGTAAAATAGGGCCTGCTGCAGTTTTTTCACCTGCTCTGGATCTGCTCTGCAACTGAACGCTGTGATGTGAACTGGAGCAAAAAATAAAATTGGACGCAGTTTTGATCCGGTCTGCACCTGCTCTGCTCTGGATCTGCTCCGCGCTTGGTGTGAACAAGCCCTAAATTTACCAGTTAAATTTATGTGCTGTTTCCTTTTACAACAGGTAATAAGAGCTCCATTTGACAGCCCTCAGGGTCACATTAAGTGCACATGGCTTAAATATTTGAGAGGCTTTCCTGCTGGGGGTTACCAGTAGCAGAGACTGCCACTCTGTGGGCAGCAAAAAGAGGACCTCGTATAAAGACATGGGAGGCTGGAGAATTTGGATGGGCCACCAGGCCTTTATTTTCATTTCTATAATGCTGACAAATCCTGTTTTCTTTACAATGAACACCTGTCATTAAAGAAAAAGGGAGGCTGTCATTGCTGAGGACCTGAAAATGCCAGTTGCCTTGCTTTCTGACCACAATGCTTTCAGAGTCCCTGACCCTGAACAAGTTGATAGATAAGAATAGAAATGATTCCATTCTGTCTTTGACTGCATGCTTGTTCCAAGTCTGCGGCTCTGGAAATATTGAAGCCAAAGATGGTCAACTATCATTTTCGGGAACAGATAAGCAGTGGCAGCTCTATGAAGCTAAGCCTAGCCACTTTTAATGCAATGTACTGGAAAGTAATGAAAACCTTTGGAAACCTGAAAGTGTGCCTGGCCATGCAGACATGTTCCTACTACATGTCAGGCCTTGTGGTCATGCATTGATTAGTTTAACAGTGTGTTCCTAGTGGTATTTGAACCCATTAACCCAAGAACTGCTTTCTGCTAAAACCCATACCAATTTATTTCTGAGAAATATTTTCGCTCAAGTATTTACATTATGTATATAATGTGTTGTGTAGCTACTGTTAAAAATACCATACAAAACCTTCCAGGATGTTTGTCCCCATGTCTTCCTTTACATATGAAGTGGTATGACAGATTCCAACATTCTTCTTGATTATGTATTGGTTTTGCCTTGTAATCCTTCATAAACTGGATTTGTGTGGCTCATGTTTGTTTCTTAGGGGCAGGTGTGTTGGTGTTGCGTTGCATGCGCATAGGGGCCATCCTAGGCAGCATGTCCCATATATACGATCTACTGGTAACCCTACATGTGCAGCTGGCGAAGCTCGGGTTGTTCAGCACAGTACATGTGCAGTCAGCAGACCAGTTTTATACTCTGTGGAGCAGTGAGAACTGGGATGTGTGGCGGGGTTACCCTAGGAGTATCTCCATACTAAACTACATATTTAGACGCAGGCTAGAACTAGTTCAGGCTTCTGCTGTGGGGATATGTTTGGAAGCACGTGGAGCATGGTCTAAACCTCTGCATAGGCTCTAGAACAGCGGTTCTCAACCTGTGGGTCGGGACCCCTTCGAGGGTCAAATGACGATTTGCCAGGGGTCGCCCGGGAGTCTCCTGCTATTAGCGGCTCCCGGCCGCCTGGGAGTGAAACACTTTCTCCCGAGCAGAGTAAACCTCTTTTGTCTGACATTGGTGGCCGTAGGCCGCCGTAAGTCAGAAAAAAAACCCCACCCTAGGAATGCATTTCACTTTGCAATAGCCAATAGCAAACTAGCTATTGCACCTGCCCTCTGCTGCTGCCAATCAGCAGAGGGGGACCTGAAGTTCTCCAGCAGCAGAGGGCGGGTGCAATAGCTAGTTTGCTATTTCAAAGTGAAATAGCCAATAGGAATCTAGCTATGCATTCCTTGGGTGTTTTTTTGTTTTGTTTTTTTATTCTGACGGCGTACACCAGTGGTTCTCAACCTGTGGGTCGCTGTGTGATTTCTGCTGTGCTAGGCGAGAGTCCTCCTCAGCCCTCTCCTAGTGCAGCAGTGTCAGTTCTCCCACCAGATGTCGCTGCAGCAGCCGCGTCATTCCTAAATTTTACCGTTGGGGGTCACCACAACTTGGCAAATGTTACCAAGGGTTCCCGGCCCTAGAGAGGTTGAGAACCACTGCTCTAGAAGGAAATAGTTACATAGTTACATAGTATTTGAGGTTGAATAAAGACATTAGTCCATCAAGTCCAACCTATTAGGATCTCATTCTAGGAGTACCCGTACCCCTGTATATTACGGTCCCTTAAGAAATCGTCCAAAAGTTTCTTGAACAATTCCACATTATTTGCTGAAATCACCGCCTGTGGCAGTGAGTTCCAGACCCTAACTGATCTTACTGTGAAGAACCCCCTTCGCCCCTTGTGCTGGAATTTTTTTTCCATCAATTTTAGGTGATGGCCTCTAGTTTTTGTAACGGAGTTAATTTTAAACAGTTTATCGCTAATGTTGCTACCACCATTAAACATTTTGTACATGGAAATCATATCCCCCCTTAATCTCCTCACCTCTAATGTGAACATGTTTAAATTTAGTAGCCTCGTCTCGTAGCTCTGGTCCTCCATACCCCTAATTAGTTTGGTTGCCCTTCGCTGGACTTTTTCCAACTCAAGGACATCTTTTCTTAGTACTGGTGACCAGAACTGGACCGCGTACTCCAGATGAGGTCGAACCAATGATCTATAAAGTGGCAAAATTATAGACTTGTCCCTGCAATACATCCCCTTTTTAATACAGGACAAGACCCTGCTAGCTTTGTTTACAGCAGCCTGGCACTGCAAACTACCTTTCAGTTTGTGGTCTACAATGACCCCCAAATCCTTCTCCATTTCTGACTTCCCCAGCGGCATACCCATAATTGTATAACCCATTTGTTTATTTTTAATTCCAAAGTGCATTACTTTGCATTTATCGACATTAAACCTCATCTGCCACATTAATGCCCACTCCCCTATTTTATCCAGGTCCTCCTGTAATGTTAATAGTACTTTCGACTCTTCAGACCTATACCTAATGTGGTGCTGTGGTGGTGACATGTCTGCTTTAAACATGCTGGTTCCTTTTGGTTATAGGTTTGAAGTAGGTTCGGGATTTGCTGGCATACCACAAATGGACCATTGCTTTGCTTGGAAATAAAAGGATCACACTGCTAAACTGGATCTTTCAATTCCCTTTTTTTCTCCTTCATGATGCTTGTTACATTTAGCTTCTTGTTTTTGCTTCCAGGTTGCGGTTATTCTCATGGACACTCAGGGGGCCTTTGACAGCCAGTCAACAATCAAAGATTGTGCAACGGTATTTGCCTTAAGCACAATGACTAGCTCTGTCCAGGTAAGCATTTTGTTTTATTTCTCGGTGCATGTTTCTGATTAATTGTATTTATTCTGCAAGTGTGGCATGTGCTACTTTTAATGTAGTATGCAAAAATCAGGTTAACTTGTATTTTCATCTGTTTTATACACACACAGAATATAACATTTGGTAACATTTAGTTGTGTAGGCCCAGTGTATGTGGTTTAATGCATCAGGGCTAATTCACATTGAAAACTGGTCAGATTTTTTGTTAATAAAGTTTTATTGGAGATAAAAATGCACTTGTAGGACCCTTTCCTGATAGATAATGGGGGGAATTTATCAAAACTGGAGCAGAGAGAATCTGGAGCAGTTGCCCAGGGCAACCAATAAGCATCTCTCTTCAGTTTCCTCAGGTAAGATTTGAAAACCAAGACAGAGAAGCTGATTGGTTGCAGTGCAAATCGGTTCCAGATTTTGTCTGCTCCATTTTTGATAAATTCCCCTCGATGTGTTCACACTGCTGCTTGCAATCCTTTTGTAAGCACATCACAAAACACAGCGCTGAGGTTGCTTTGCAGTGTAAATGGCTTGTCTCACACAAGGTCCGCAGCTTGCATGTAGCAATGCACAGAACACGGTTTAGTTATGCATGGGGACTTAAAGTCCTCGTAAATAAACACTCCTGTCATCCAGTATTACATACTGTATTGACTTCTGTGGATGAAAAGTTTTCTTGTCTATGAGCAGAGACCAAGTGCTGTGTCATGATTATCAAGAAGGCCTTGTCTACATAGATTTCACAATATGTAAGAGCAGTGCAGTATAAAGAAAGATTTTACATAGCATTTATAAAGCATCTTGATACATTTAAAGCAACTTTCAGGTCAAGTTTGGGGATGTTAAAGAATATTATGGGAACGCTGGCAGTCACTTTAAACAAACAAATCTCAGCACTGCTTGAAACTTGTGTAAAGCCTGTGAATCCTGCTAGCAGCTTCTTTAATGTGACGGCTAACACTCCCATTGTGGTCTGTGCTTAAAAGAGAACTATGAGGTGAGTGCTTTTCACTCACCTCATAGTTCTAGCCGACCTGTGACAATGAGACTGTCGCAGGTCGGCTCAGTTTTAGGGTGACGGGAGGACGCTAGTTTGTGTCCTCCCATTACCCCAAGGAGAACTATGGGGAAAAGCCCTGAAAACATAGTTCTCCTTTAACATCCCCACACTGGAAGCGAAGGTTGCTTTAATGGCTTTAGGAAAGCTGTGTGAAGCTTGCAGAAACCTTTTACAATGCTTTCTACAAATTTGCTGTATGCATTTGGACAAGCTTACTGCCATCATTCACAACTTTATTTCATTTATTTTTTTTCTCTGCATGCTAGACTTTAATTGCTTGTTTCCTTGCATGTTAAGTGAAATGACACATGTGCCTCTATGGCCACAGTCACACAGACACTAAAAGGGGCACTTGGCAGGCATTTTCAACAAACTTCTGAAGTAGCTGAAAGACTCGGGGTTCGTTCACACCATATGCAGTGCGTTCCGGTCCGATTCTGGCCGGAACGCACTGCATCGTATTGCGGCCGGCTCACTTTTTTTTGTGGGGCTGGAGGGGGTGTGGCAGGCCATTGAAGTGAATGGCACCGTAGCCACGACCTCTGGCCGCAATGCGTTTGCCTGCACGGGATCGCAGGGCACATTGTGCCTGTGGTCCGGTGCGATAAAAATGCTGCAAGCACTATTTTGATCGCACCGTGCGGGCGATCACATTGCGGCTGGAGGGCGTGGCTACGGTGCCATTCACTTCATCTATTTGGCAGTATTATATACTAATTTTTTTGATTTTCATGAACGGTTTTGGTACAAACATTTTATTGTGTTTTTATAGTGAGCTGGTTTGCATGGTACACGTTATAGCAATTTTTTGCACTTTAGGAAATTTTTAGCTGCGCTCATTCTGTGATTGAGTTAATGCTTGTTATGTAACTAATACATAACAAGGCCCTCTCTCTTTGATTAGGTCTGGGGTTATTGGACCTTTTCTCCCCACACAATAGTGGAATCCCCTTTTGTAATGTGTTTTGCTGTAATCTGGCTCTCACTGAATTTAAACTTTTATTGGTCTCCCCGTATATGTGTTTATTCCACACTATGTGGGGAATTTATCAGAACTGGAGAAGACAGAATCTGGAGCAGATGTGCATGGCAACCAATCAGCTTCTCTTTCATTTTCAGATCTTAATGAACAAACTGGAGAGAGAAGCTGATTTGGTTGCCATGCACAGCTGCTTCAGTTCTTCTCTGCTTCAGTTTTGACAAAATCCCCTCTGTCTTTTACTGAAAGAAAATGTGGGCTCTTTTGTCTTTGGGATTCAAAATTGTGTTTTATACCCATCTCATTTTGACACTGTCGATCTGATACACATTGGTGCCCCTGTCTGCTCCCTCTTGCCTTTTACTTTTGTTTTTGCTGCCTCTTTTGTTGTAGCACTGTTGTTACTTGTACAATATTATGTAATAAGTTATCCATCCATGACTACTTAAGAACGTCTTTCCATGACAATATCTTTTTGCTTGTCGCAAGATCTTCATGTGTCCTTACAACAATGGTCACAGTAATAGGAAAAGTAGAGACTCTTTATAAGAGGTTTATTAGGTGCTTAGTCTAAGACCTTTGGAATTCTTTATCCAGACATACTAATAAACTCTTGAAGCGAAGCAAAGTTTATCTAGCAATTATAAACTAACTTCTTTGTTACTCAAGATAAAAAAAGAGTGATATGTATTTGTATTGCAGGTATATAATTTGTCACAGAATATTCAAGAAGATGATCTGCAGCATTTACAGGTATATATTGTGAGATGACTGTAGGATGGGCAGCCTCAGTTTGTTATTATTAGAGCTCATTCAAGCTGTAATAAGAGCACGCATTCTTATTAGAGCGCACGCAACAAGGCGCACTCATTGTTATGCATTGTTTTAAGGCAGCCCATTAATTTTGCACTTGAAAAATCTCATGCTCAAGTCCTAAACTCTTTCCTTGTTATGCTTCATGCTGGACTTCATGCTTGTTTCTGCATATAATTTGTAATAATACCGTATATGTAAATGGGTAGATCAATACCAATTTGCTCATATTAAAGCAAAATGTCTGATTGAAAAAAACCGTTCCCTTTAATTCCCATGAATGTACCATAGAATATCTCTGGTCAGTTGCTAGTTAACACTTTTTTCTAAGTTAAGAAAAAAAAAAAAAACATTCTTATTGTTGTCAGGAATTTTATACACTGTATTTTGGTTTTGAGTTTCCTTCATACCTTTTACAATTAGAATGTTGCAAGGAATGTTTGATGCTGCACTGCAGGGTGACCACTTGATGTGACTCATTGTCTAGCTACTCTACTTCCTGTCATTACACCTGAAGCTTTTGTGCAAAGGGTTCAGTCTGAGGGGTGAAAAATCTGGTTTTCTTCAAAACAACAAACAGGGCTCTCTGTATTGCGCTATACATCGCAGTGATACTCCACACCGCAGCCTGTGTGGGTGGGTCGGTCCACTGATGACCGCTATTATTTTACAGGGGACTGCCAGGAGAACCCTTATGATATAAGTTCATGGTCGCTAAAGATACCATGAGCTTATAGCAGAAGGGTGAAAGCCACCTGCAAGCGGTTGTGTTCTGCCGTAAGCCTTACATCAGTGGCAGCAAAAGGGTTAGGTCCATACTGCTGATTTTACAATGAAGACTGTAAATGCGATTTTTAGGTTTTATAGGACAGAATTTTAAATTTAGGAAAGCCAAATGATACTGCCCTCTGGAGAGTAATTTGTACATTTTGGGAAAAGGACTGAATAGGCAAAACAGAAGTAAATAATACCTTTTTTAGAATGCAGTGTATAACCAAAACGATATGTATTTGTGTAAAAGACAATGTTATCGGGCATATTGTTTGCTGCATCTAGTGCTACTCGAGATTAATTGGCAGCGTATTGATTTAACACTCTTTTGGCATCTAATTGTCTTATAAATATTTGATGAGACGCAAACTCTTATGCTGTAAAAGCTCTCATTTCCTGACTTAGCCAGGGAATAATCTGAATGGTGTGCATTTGGTTTCACAAAACTAACTGTACGATTTTCTAGCTTTTTACAGAGTATGGACGTCTGGCAATGGAAGAAATCTACAAAAAGCCCTTTCAGGTAAATTATACAATCGTACTAACAAGTTGGGTGATAGAAATAGCTGCTTTGTGTGCTGGATTAACATCAGAATGTAATCCATTGCTGGTATATGGAGATAATATAACATTGTGACAGTTTACACTGTGGCTTAACAGAGATCACATGGAGATCAGTGGATGATACAAGTATATAATTTGGGTGAGAACATTTCATTCAATTTACCTTTGCCATCTAAATATGGGATAAGCTGGTACTTTTTGTCACTTATCTTCATTATGAACTGAAACATGCATGAACATTTGGTGAGAGTCCAATCAATCAATCAATCAAATTTACTCGTCACTATTATTATGATAGGTTAGAAAATGTCTTGAAGCTGACCATGTACCCAGTAGATGGTTCCCCATATCCTATCTTCTTCTGCAAACTTTGAGGTGGTATGCTGAGAGTAGAAGGATACTTCCTCCAAGGAAGATATCTGGATCAGTGGACATAAGTAACTATTGTACATGATTACACTACCCTTCCCAAATCTATACACCTCTATGACCTGGAGTTTACACTTGACAGCCATGTACCTATTTAAACGCAATGTACAGGCACCTGGATGTGCATGTATATACTTGCATCTGCTTTTAGTGTCCCTACTTTGCTGAGTGTTTTAATTGAGCAAGGCATGAGCCCTTGCTCCATATGTTTTTGACTGCCAATTAACTGATAGGATGCCTCATTGGCCAAAAGGAATCTGTGGGAGTGATCTGCAAAGCTTTGCCCAATCAGAGTGGCATGACATTTGGGCAGATCAGAGGGACTGAAAGCAACTGTCGGTATGTGCAGACACCTCTAGATAGTTTGTTTGGTCTTTTATAGGTATGCCATATTAAGCTTTGTGTCATTGTGTGTGTAGTTCATATATATGTATCTGTCATTACAGACCCTCATGTTTTTGATCAGAGATTGGAGTTATCCTTATGAACATCAGTATGGCTTGGAAGGTGGAAATCTCTTTCTAGAAAAGCGATTACAGGTAACAAATGGAGGAAAAGTAGCTTGCATGTGAACCTAAACCTTCAGCTAGACATGGGATTTTTACAGTTTCCCGTAACAACATACCCTCAACATCTGCCTTGACTTAGTTCATGGTGATTGGATTAATGTTGCCTTTCGTACCTGTGTGGATATAGCCCCTTTGTGGCCTGTTGTGATATTTCCATATCACACCAGACAACTTTGGTGGCCTGTTGTGATATGAAAATAGCCGCGAGATCTTTTTTTTTTCCCCCAGTCCACTAAATGAGAATCTGTATTTCCTTTTGACCAACAGGTAAAACAGAACCAGCACGAAGAGCTGCAGAATGTCAGAAAACACATACACTCTTGTTTTACTAACATCAGCTGTTTTCTTCTGCCTCATCCTGGTCTTAAAGTTGCTACCAACCCCTATTTTGATGGTAAATTAATAGGTGAGTGGTTTATGTCATTCTTTGTAGAAAGACTCTTCTCGATGTATAGGGACAGTGAGATACCCAAATACTCTCTCAGGTCTTTGGTTTTCATGCTGTTAACCTACAGTGTACAAAGTCCCCATTTTTATATTCCTTCTAACAGACATAGAAAATATATTTGTTTGTTGCCAGAACATTAAAGCCCAACTTAAGGTAAATTTTGTTTTTAGTTTTGAATAGATTTTGGGGTTGGAAACTTTAAGGTTTTTATTATGCTGTGTGATTCCATAGGGGTGATAAGTATCACACACGATGACCCACAGCCACATGAATTCTTAATGAGATCATCCCCACCAGCACACCTTCCTCTTGTGCATGGTACCACTATTAAGGCCTCTGCCTTCTCCAAATGTTGAACCTCTAGATAACTGTTTTTCTAATGAACTCATTTCCCTACACTTCAGTAAGGTTTGCTGGTAAATACTTTTTTCTCTTTGATGCATTGAAGGATACGGCTCTTCTTTGGGTGATCACTAGCTGGGTATTGCCTCAAGATGCATTTAAAAACAAAAGACAGCTCAGGAGATGGCCCCTGTTGGTGGCCAAAACCCCATCCACAGCTGTGATTGGCCTAGTATATGTAAGTTATTACATGGAAATTTCCTGTTTGATTTTTTTTTCTCTTCAGTCAAGTCACTGGCTGGGTGACAGTCCAGATAATATAGATCTTAGTAGTTTTACCAGGTGTCCAGGTTCGGCTGCGACATCCCAGTTTTCTTATGGGGAACCTGTGGGGCTTTGTTCCTGGAGTAATGCACATGACCGTCCAACCTGATGGCCTATCACAGTGTCCTTACATGCCTGCAGCAACTCTGCTCTGGCTAGTGGTGGTCTGCAGTGACCATTGCAGATGGCTGTGGCTCCTTGCAAGTTGTTGTTGAAGGTGCAGTAAGTAGTGCTCAACCTGCCTCCCCCTTTTGGAATACACTTAAAATAGTAGATTATCCTCCTGTGGTGTTCAGCCGACCAGTATCTTTTGGGACGCATAAGCTGAAGCGCTTTGAAAAAGTTTCCCCTTGCATCTACTATTTTTATGATTTTTATCTATAAGGAGTTGCAGCGATCATCTGTCATTTGATTTGTCATGGCAGTTTTTGGCGTGTTATCCCTTTCAGCACGGGCTTACTAAGACAGTGGGCATCTCCACCTGTTGTAGATTCTCTAGTTTCCCCTCTACACAAGGCTATGGGGTTTTTTTTGGTTGAGGATGCTCCTTCCTTTAAAGATCTTACAGATAGGAAGACGGAGGCATGTACAGGCCTTGTAAGATTTACCATGGTTTGTCAAAGATGTATTTTGCATAGTGTGAATCCCTTGGGATATACCCTCATTCTTTCTCAGTTGCCCAATTCCTGGCCTTTATCCAACATTGAGTGGAACAGCTGCTTTCCTTGAGCACAATTTTAGGTCAGGTCTCATTGTTGTCAGCTATGTTCCAATGTTAGGTCCGATTTCAGTGTTGGCAGCTTTGTTCCAATGTCCACTAGCATCTCTGCCACTTGTCCACATCTCCAACTAGGGAGGTACGTATGTCGCCCACTATTGTCCATTTGGGTGGATGGATCCAGGTATTGGGAGGGAGGGAGGAAGCTTCTACACAGGATATGCCCTATGGTGTCCCCAGACCAATGAGCAGATCCTAATGAAATGCCCTCAAAGTTTTTCTGCTCAAAGAGCTGAACTGGAAGCAGTGAGAGAATGGTGGCTAGCTGAATGATCCTGACCACAATTCCTACCCCTACTGAACCTCTCCAATTCCCTTAATTGTAATTGGAATGTCTGTATATCCCTATTTGTAAATAAACCCAACACTTATTTAAGATTCAGTTGTTCATCAGTAATTTAAGGCACCCCCCAAAGCAGAGCACATTCTACATATAACTACGTGTTGTCATTTTCATTGCTTTGCCATGTCATTGAGTTGTCTGCAGCTGTGGAGGTCATTTTGGCACCAGCAGGGGTCTGGATTGTCGTTTTTGTTTTTCAGTGCACCTTGAATTTTTCTCCTGCGGGTGGTGATATACCCAGTCATTGGTTGTCTAAAGCAGACCTTTTGTCCTCCAGTAAACCCATAGAAAAGGATTTTACAGGGAGTAAGATCTCCTGAATTTGAGCTCAGACAGGAATAAATAAGCGAAAGATTCTCGTTCACTCTGTCAAAAAAATGGGCTTTAAATATCAAAAAACATTTATGTGGCTTCTAGAGAGTCCAACCCAAGTTTCTTTCCTGTTGCTGCCAATATTTGCACATTTTCATCTAATCTAATTCCATGTATGTAATTCCTGTGAAATCTTTATCCACTTTAGACATAGATGATGAGTTCAAAAAGGAGCTTCAAAATCTAGTTCCTTTAATACTTTCACCTGAGTACTTGATAGAAAAAGAAATTGGTGGCAACAAGGTGACTTGTCGAGATCTGTTGGAATATTTTAAGGTAAGTTTGCCTGATTGTGATATAATATGGCTTTGTTGGACTGAAACAGTGATCTTAGGGCTGCAACAACTAATTGATTAAAATCGATGACGAGAATCGTTGGCAATGACTATCATTATCGATTAGTTGCTTTTAAATTAGTTGCAGCCGCTGCTCTGCTCATCAGCTCTCCTCCCCGCTGGCTGCAGCGGTCTCTGTCCTTTTCAATCCCCGCCTGTGTCGGCAGAGGCAGCGGGGACACAGACCACTGCAGCCAGAACCAGCGGGCAGCAGAGACCGCTGTGACTCTGCAAAACTGCTGCCCCCCCCCCCAGCAGCTGTTCCGTGTTTCCTATTCCCCAGCCTGTTCTTCCTCAGCCCCGCCCCTGTTCAGCCGTTTTGGCCCCACCCCCGGCTCAGCTGCGTTGGCCCCGCCCCGTTCAGCCGCTTTGGCCCCGCCCTTGTGCTTCTGTTGCAACTAGAGGCTGGGAGCCATACCCAGCCTGCTTTTGGATAATCAGCAGATGAGGACCTGATGGATAACTTCATGTCTCTCCTCTGCTGATTGACAGCAGGCAGTGGGCTGGTGCAATAGCCACCCTGCTATTGGCTATTGCAATTTGAAATATCCAATAGCAGGCTGGCTATTGCTCCCAGCAATAAAGTTAAAAAGATAGTTAAACTAGTTAAATAAACTAAAATTAAAAAAAGACTAAAGTAAAACAAAAATTAAATAGATAAAAATTAAAATGCAAAAACAAAAAAAAGTTAAATAAACTAAAATTAAAAATAGAAAACAATTTTTTGGGGTTTTAAATATATTGGCTTAGTTTTACAATTCACATTATTTTAAATCCATGAAACTAATTAAAATGTCTAATATACATACATTTATTAAAAGACAAATATCTAGATATATAACAAAAACGGGAGTATTGCGGTATGCAATAATACCTTCCATACTGCAATACTCCGTTTTTTTCTTTTTACTTCTATCTTGTGTACTGGACTAATACAGCTTATCCATTTACATATACATGTGTAAAAGTCATTTTCAGTTTCGGCCTGACAAATGTTGCTGCAGGAGGTGCGTTGTGGTGCCATGCATTCAATGCATCCCAAATGCACCTGTCCGCAGTGTGATTGCCTGCACTGGAATGCGCGGTACTGCAATGCCCTGCGTTCCAGTGCAATTGCATACAATGTGCATACCATTTTATTCTGAATTAAACTTTGTCTGTAAAGCTACATTTTGTGTATTTTTTTTTGTATTCTATCCAATTAATCGAAGTTAATCGGCTAACTAATCGATTATGAAAATAATCGTTGGCTGCAGCCTTAGTTGATTGATTATTATTAATTAGCAATATTGAGCAAGCATAGGAACTGCAAGAATAGATGTGACGCACATTGCGATTATTATGGAGTGAAAAAAATGTATGCGGTCTGTAATGGTCTGAGTCTTGTAGATAAAGAGCAAAACAAATGACAAACGCACTCAACAATTCGTCACCAGTTATACAGTAGTGCACAAGTATACTTGTAGATAAAGAGGACACACACAGGTGGACAGACCTTATCTAAGAAAAAAGAATTCAATTGAAACTAGGATAAACCTTCATATGAAAAGTTGTGAGAAGTCCCTGTCAAATAAAAATCATATACATCCTATGATTGGGTGGTTTGATTTGGATGTGGCTATGTCAATGCAAATAACAATGGTGCAGATAAATTGCCATATTATAAGTAGGTGCCAAATACAACTAGGGTGTGAGTACCTAAATACAGTATATTACCAAAAGTATTGGGACACCCCTCCAAATCATTGGATTCAGGTGTTCTGTGAAATTTCCTTGCTACTAAATATTCAACTGTCAGTGGTATTTTAACAAAGTGGAAGCAACTGGGAACAACAGCAACTCAGCCACAAAGTGGTAGGCCACGTAAAATGACAGAGCTGGGTCAGCGCATGCTGAAGTGCGCAGAAGACGCCGTCTGCAGAGTCAATAGCTACAGACCGCCAAACCTCATGTGGCCTTCAGATTGGCACAACAACAGGGCGTAGAGAGCTTCATGGAACGGGTTTCTATTGCAGAGCAGCGGCATCCAAACCTTACATCACCAAGTGCAATGCAAAGCGTCGGATGCAGTGTTGTAAAGCACGCCGCCACTGGACTCTAGGGAAGTGGAGACGTGTTTTCTGGAGTGACAAATCGCGCTTCCCTGTCTGGCAATCCGATGGACATGTCTGGGTTTAGCTGTTGCCAGGAGAACGGTACTTGCCTGACCGCATTGTGCCAAGTGTAAAGTTTGGTGGAGAGGGGATTATGGTGTGGGGTTGTTTTTCAGGGGTTGGGCTTGGCCCCTGAGGTCCAGTGAAGGGAATTCTTAAGGCATCAGCATACCAAGACATTTTGGACAATTTAATGCTCCCAACTTCATGGGAACAGTTTGGGGATGGCCCCTTCCTGTTCCAACATGACTGCGCACCAGTGCACAAAGCAAGGTCCATAAAGACATGGATGAGCGAGTTTGGGGCGGAGGAACTTGATTGGCCTGCACAGAGTCCTGACCTCAACCCGATAGAACATCTTTGGGATGAATTAGAGCGGAGACTGCGAGCCAGGCCTTCTCGTCCAACATTAGTTTTACAATTTACATTATTTTAAATCCATGAAACTAATTAAAATGTCTAATATACATACATTTATTAAAAGACAAATATCTAGATATATAACAAAAACGGGAGTATTGCGGTATGCAATAATACCTTTCATACTGCAATACTCCGTTTTTTTTCTTTTTACTTCTATCTTGTGTACTGGACTAATACAGCTTATCCATTTACATTGTGAGTACCTGACCTCACAAATGCGCTTCTGGAAGAATGGTCAAACATTCCCATAGACACACTCCTAAACCTTGTGGACGCCTTCCCAGAAGAGTTGAAGCTGTTATAGCGGCAAAGGGTGGGCCAACTCAATATTGAACCCTACGGACTAAGACTGGGATGCCATTAGAGTTCATGTGTGTGTAAAGCAGGTGTCCCAATACTTTTGGTAATTTAGGGTCCATTAGATTATGTAGCAATGTGTACCTGGGGACAGGGAACTTACAGGGGGAGAGCAATGTGATGACCTCATACGTGCACAGATGGCATTACAATGCCCATTCAAATAGCTGGAGTGTATTTTCAAACAAGGTTTGCTGTTTTGTTAAATCTGAAGAATCGGGCTGTGCTTCCTGCATTTGTGAATCACAAAACTGTCTGTTCTGGAATTATAAATCCATTTGCAGGTAAAACAGTTTTATATGCATTTCAACTATGTACTTATCTGCTGGCCTAGGGTTTAGCTATGTTTAAGACTTGGGTTTGGGGTTAGCTTTGTTTTGGGGGCTGATTTTTTTAATTGCCCAGCCTATAGCTTGGCAAATGATGTTCACACAGCATTCTTGTCCCTAGATAGAGACGAGGAGCACAGGAAATTTCTATGCTCCATCTAGTGGCAGTAATGCCCTGAAAAACTGTGTTTGCCCAGCTATATGAGCGAATGTTTTGAGTCTGCTGTGTGTTTTAGCATGATAAATGGAAATCTCTGGTCTGAATTCTTAGGCCAAAACTACAAAAATGTATCCAACTACCAATGATGTATCTTATTTGTATGTTTTATAGGTAAAAGTAGGTCTCCTTGTTTGTTATTTAATAATATGAAAAAAGTTAAAGCATTGATTAGATCATTTTATCATTTCCAGTTCTTATGCTGGATGATCTTTATTTCTCTTCCAGGCATACATTAAAATCTATCAAGGTGAGGAGCTCCCTCATCCCAAGTCTATGCTTCAGGTATTCATCAACCCTTGTTCTGTATTTTGTATGTGTGTGTTCTTTTTGTTTTGTTTTTGGGCTAACTGTATTATTTTACAGGCGACTGCAGAAGCGAATAACCTGGCTGCTGTTGCTGGAGCCAAAGACACGTATAGCAAATGCATGGAGCAGGTGAGGTTTTTACTTCCTAGAAACCATTTTAAGATATTTTTAGTCTTATTGGCATGTGCCCCACTTATCACTGAAGAAAAAAAATCTATCAAAGGGAAACTTTAATGTGATGGGCAGCTACCCTGCCTAATGTCAGATCAAGAAGGAGCTGGGGCCAAAACTCTTTACATGCATATAAATTCAGCTGCCTCAATGTCCGGAGCTGCTGACTCTTAGTTTATTACGTAAAAAATTCTGTACTTTTGCTTTTCTCACAATTTGCTCAGCCTGCATGACCTATGTTATGGGGTATGTGCGAACTGTTGTATTTATGATGTTTTGGAAATACTCCTCATGGATTGTCCTCAACCATAGTACTGTAATGATCACAAACCCCAACCTCAACGCTGCAAATGAGTTCATCCAAAACATTAAGTAACAATGGCCAGAAGTCTTCTATTGATTCCATATTTTGGATTTCTGCTGCATTCTTGGTTTCAGTAGCTGGCAGAGGATGATGTGCACTAATGTTGCTTCTTACAACATGCAAATAGATTGATAAGCTAACAGATGTTGGCAGTGCAAAGCTTTTTCCTATTGAAGTATTTGCGCACTAGAGTTTATCTCCATGTGCAGCATTGATGGGACCACTGTGTAGGGGTAGTGTCAGACTGCAAGAGACCCAGACCGACTGCCGGATTCTGATGTCAGATTCTTCTTAAAGTAACACTGCATGTCTCACTTTTTCTAGATCAGCTTATTACCTTTTTGGAGCAAGTAAAAAGCTCATAGTTGGGGTAAACCACAGCACTT